AAATATTGGATGCCTTTGGCATGTCCGAGACGGCCGGCTGTCATACACTGTGTCTGCCCGATTCGATACACTTGAATTCCATTGGCAAATCGCTGCCCGGCTGCGAATCAAAGATCATCAATCAGGATGAGAATGGACATGGTGAACTGTGCATACGTGGACGTCATGTATTCATGGGCTACATATACAATAAGGAGAAGACCGAAGAGTCGCTGGACGATGACTGTTGGTTGCATTCCGGTGACTTGGGCTACATCGATGACAAGGGTTATGTGTGTCTCACGGGTCGCTCCAAGGAGCTGATCATTACTGCGGGCGGTGAGAATATTCCTCCCGTGCATATTGAGAATATTATCAAAAAGGAACTGGATGGCATTTCCAATGCTTTCCTCGTGGGTGAACAGCGCAAATATCTAACCGTCTTGGTATCGATTAAGGTAAGTTCTAGCAAAATTTGTATGTTTATCGATCCTACTTCAAATAACAATCCAATCCAAAAAATGTAGACTGAAGTGGATCGCGAGACGGGCGCACCGCTGGATGAGCTGACGCACGAATCGAGCGTCTGGATGAAATCTCTGGGCGTGGAGTACAAGACACTCAGCGAAATATTAAATGCTGGACCCTGTCCAAAGGTCTGGAAATCCATCGAGGATGGCATCAAGCGCGCCAACAAACAGTCCATCTCGAATGCCCAAAAGGTGCAGAAATTTGCAATTTTGCCGCATGATTTCTCGATTGCCACCGGCGAACTGGGACCCACACTGAAGGTCAAGCGCAATGTGGTTAACAAAATGTATGCGGATCTCATTGAGACCCTTTACGCCTAGAACAAACACAAAAACAAACACTGTAAAACCAAAAAAGAAAATTTGTTTTGTTACCAATCGGCAGAGAGCTATGCAACTTGAGCTTTAAACATGAAATGAATTTAACGGACTTACAAGCCATTGAGTGCCAGCTTTTAACTAATATATACGCCTGTATATATATATATATATATATATACCTAAACTACTTGTACGATATATAGAGAAATTTTAGATAAAACAACATCCACTCAATTGGTATGAGTGCGATATGATGATGAGGTTGATGTTATTATTGAGCTTGATGTTAATTATATGATGAACGACTAATTTTTTCCATCAAAACTATATAGATCTTTAGCGCATAAGTTTTAAATTTTATGTTAATTTGTTTTACTTATTGAAACGCAAAGAAAATTATATACTCTTATTGTTTGAATTACTACAATAAATTTTTACATATAGATTTTAAGATGATATACAATTTGTTAAAGTTTCCCTTGTGCTTGGAAAGTTTTCCCTTTCCTTTGTAAAGCTTTTGTCCAAATAATTAATAACCATAACGAAAGTTTGAGTATAGTCAGCAGATTGCCTTAGCTAGATTCTTAAAAATATATAACGGTCACAATACTATCTAGAACTGAGAACTATTAAAGTATAGTTGTTTATTTGAAAAATTAAACACAATTAACTAAATTTTATAGTTATATATCTTTCGATTATACACAATATAATTCTCGAGGTAAATTTATATATTCCTAATCAAAAACATTTTCGTCTGTTTGTCTACTTTAAAGAGACCTGTTTATTTTGTAGATTGAAGCACTATTTCATATAGTTCTCTTATAGAAATTATTTGATCAATGAAATTCCTGCACGTTTTTCTTTCTCAAAATATCTTAAACAACCTTAGCATTTGCCAGCTTGACTGTGTTTTCAGCATAGGAGCATAATCGAATTTACATCAGACAACTGTATAGCTATATAGGCAGCTATAGGAACACTCGCCAAAAATAGCCTTCCTTTCTTATCTACTATTATAAAAATTTTGAATACCCTGATCCCATTTCATATGTATATGAAATGGTGAAGGGCGCATCTTCGACCCCATAAGGTATATATATTCTTGGGCAACATCAATAGCTGAATCGATCTAGCCATGCCCGTCTGTCTGTAGCTGTAAAATAATGTATTTATCCGTTATCGAAGAACCTATGAGAGCTAGAGATCATGTTATATCCCCCTGTAAGAACCCGTTGATATCGATAATAACAGAGGGTAGATAATTGAAAAATAAAATAATATATATAAATTATATATTTTTGCGACCAAATATTTATCTACATATCATCGAATATTGATTTTGAGATATAGTTTAGTATAAGAAACTGGAAAATTATAAAAACCAGATGGAGCTAGCTTGGTATGCAGAGTATCGTAAAGTACAGGCAGATTAAAAATAATTAGTTTTTGGGATACCTCCCCTCGACCCGCCAAATAGATAAAACCAATTGATTAACTTTCAACCTGGCGATTTGGTATATATACACTTTTACATCCTTTTACGTCCTGAATACGTTTCACAGAGATCGGACTATAAACACCGAAGTTAATAAGGAATAGGAGAATGGTATAGGCTAAGGATATGTTTATGTGTAAAACAAAGCTAGATATAGATAGCTCGGCGCTGGATCTAGGGTATTCTCTAATCGACACTCCAAGCAGAACAGTTTTACTCAATATATTTGCAAAAACTAGCAAATTTTAAGAAATTTTACTTTGCGATTTATTCAGATTGCCAGCTTATTTTCCGCTCTGCGTCAACTTTTCCGTAACTTTTTCTAAAGCGCGTGCCGCGCTTAAGTCTTTACTCAGTTTATTGAATCCATAGCATACAGAGATAACAATGAGGCTTATGAAGTAGGCTCCTCAAACGCTATCGTCCACTTGCTCTTCGGTAGGCGGTTCACCCTCGCTCTCCAGACCCTTGGCCAGACGCTCGGCGACCCGCTGCATTAGCTCCTCCATGCTCATCTCGATCTTGACGCAAGCGTGTCGCTGAATGTCGTACCGCTGATCCTGGCCGCACTGGATACGCTCGCAGCTGAGACTCAGACTGAACCAGCTGCTGACATCCTTAAAGCCCGGCCGGCATTCGCACTCATTGTGGGCGACACAATGGCTGTGCTCCGGACAGCCACCCTGGCAGATCGGTCGACAAATCAACTGATGCTGCTTATTGGGATGATGCGAGTGCTCATACCCGCGCAGGCAGCGGCATTTGTTTGGCTCCAAGCAATAGCTGTGCGCCGGACACGCCTCCAGGCAGATGGGCTCACAGAAGCCAAAGATAATGGTGCGATAACCGGGACAACATATTTGCACCGTATCCCAGCGTATGCGCTCCTCATACACAATGTACTGCTCGCCGGAGGAGTTGCTGCTGGCATTGCTGGGCAGACGTGTCCTGGTCAATGGCACCTGGTACTTGACACTGATGTTCTTCTGGCAGTGGCCGTTCGTTATGGCCAGAGCCTGCGTTTGGCCGAGCAGCAGCAGCAGCATCGAGAGCATCTTGTCCAGCATCTTTGTCGGGTTCTTTGTCCAGATCTGGCGCTGGGCACGCTCCAAAATGCACTAAACGCAGTCTCGCCAGACGATGCGCTGATAAAAAAGTGAAAGCCACAATAATTCTTTGTGTTCCGCCTCGTCGGGTATGCCGACGATAACTGGCATTCTGTTTTGCTCCGGGCTTATCGCCTTTGGCTGCCATTGGAAATGTACCGAATCCGCAGCAGGAAAGGCGAATGCAACTGGAAATGGAAACGGCGTGGGGCATGGAAGTGCGACCGGGAGAGAGCATATACGATAAGAGACCCCAAAGAGCTGATCTGCTCAATAGTATGGCAAATTTGAAAGAAGCGCATTTTATCCGCGATCCGATACTTGCAATGATTAATCCATGATTTATGCGGGCATACAAGTACAGTGGAACCTCGATTAGCCATAACTTCACCTCGCTTAGAATCGCAAATTTCGATAAAAAGAAGTCGTATTTAAATATTTTATTTTATTTTAAAATTTATATCTTTAACCTTTCGTAAACTTCGTCTCGTACTTCCCATTCCGATCAACAGACATATTTCAGATCGAGGCTTATCTTCATCTTATATGGTATTTATTTATCCTGTTATCCTGCTCGTAAGAAATGGTTTTCAGCTCGCGGATGATCGAAAATACATTTTAAAAGAAGAATTGTCATACATGTGCATATATTCTATTCTATTCTGAAACTTATTTATCCTTTGTTCTGTTATTTGTGAGCTTCGGCAGGTGCTTCGTATTCCGATTAACAGAATTTAATTTTTAGATAGCGTTTGAGATAAGCGAGGCTCTACTGTACATGCTTGTTATCACATAATCCCCACTTAAACTTTGGTGTTTTATTTAATCATGGTACAATCTAATTAAAAGTGCGAAAACAGTGAATCACATTTCAAAGGTTTTTTATTTTTCTCTTTATATATATAGCTGGTATTCCCCGGCCTTGCCCGTGGCAATCTTCGAATCGCATTTTTCACCGAGGAAGCTTTGATGTTTCGAAAAGTGTTAAACACCTCACAACCGAATTTAAACAAAGTTCTTTGAAAATGAGTATGAGGCCGATCGGATGGTTAACAAAAAAGGTTCATACAAACATTTTTCGCGATTTTTCCGCACTTGCGGGTGGAATTTTCCAAAACGCCGTCTTAACGTGCACCTTCATCAAATAGGATAACTACTGTGAAAATTTCTGCGTCCCTAGCCTCTACGATTTGGGCTGTGCGTTGATCACGAATCCATCATTGAATAAGTCAGTCAGTCAGGAAACACAGTTTTATATATAGAGATTGACTTTTAATAACGAGTTGTTTATGATTTAAATATTGCGAAAGTTTCTTTATAAGACTAAATCTATTTTCATGTTAGTTTGTGGTCGATAAATACAAATATTTTATTTATGTTATTTTTTTTTTAAACCCTTTCAGAACTTGGATTTGGAGAAAATTTAGATCGCATTATGTATTATATATATAAACATCCCACATATTAATCGCAGCACAAACCGCCATGACTAGCTATATAAAAGCAAAACTCAAGACCCCTATCTTATGAATACCTTATAAAAGCCCCACGAACCATTTAGAAAAGTTTAGTTCGCTCCGAAACGGTGTAAAATTACTGTGCTGTGCTGTAAAATGGATATGGATACCTTTTGCACACTACTGTACCTAAGTTTTGGATTGATTGGATGCCTGCACTTGGGCCAGGCAAACGAGCTGGACAGTGTTGTCCAACCAAATGTTAGAAATATTATTGAGCACAACTTTTATGCAATGAAAAATAGTGTTTCTGTTCCCAAACAGAACGCAACCGAAGCACACTCGAAGATATTATGTAATCCGGCATGTGGAGATAATATGGTGTGCGTGGAGCCCAATAATTGTCGACCAGTGTGTACACAAGGCTGTGGTGAGCACGGCATTTGCAATGCCCGCGACACATGTGGCTGTGAGCCGGGCTACGAGTTCGATGTGGAGCACTATCGATGCCTGCCCAAATGTCGGCCGGCGTGTGGACCGCACAGTGTCTGCAAGGAGCGTGATATTTGTGAGTGTTTGCCCGGCTTCAGCGGCACAGACTGTCAGCCACACTGTTTCGAGGACTGTGGCGAGCACGGAATCTGTGTGGCTCCGAACAAATGTGCCTGCAAGGAGGGCTACGATTGGCACAACAAGACCCACAATTGTCGGCCCAAATGTCATCCGCTTTGTGGACCCAATAGCCAGTGTGTTCGCCCCGATGTCTGCCAGTGTATGCGGGGCTACGAGGAGCTAAATGGCATTTGCCACTCAATGTGTCCACACGGCTGTGGCCAGCACGGTATCTGTGTGGGTATCAGGACATGTGACTGCGATACCGGCTACGAATGGGATAAGCTGCAGGCGAAATGCCGGCCCAAATGTGAGCCAAGATGTGGTCTGCATAGCTACTGCGACAGATCGAATCATTGCAAGTGCAACAAGGGTTTTATGCCCAACGATTTGCATAGCCTCAGCTGTTCCAGGCCTCTGAGCTGGTGGGTCTATCTTGTGATCGCCATCATGGTACTCTTAATAATCTGCAGCGTGTTCGGCATAATAGTCTACTGCGTGAAACGCGGCAATAATGTCAGCTACTATCCCAATTCAAATTTCTCGGATACGACCAGAATTGTGGGCTAAGCTTCTGGATTACGAACATTGAGCTATTTATCAATTATAGTTGTATTTCATAAATATAGCTGCCGCTTTTTAACCGCAACCGATAAGAATTATAAATATTTTTATTGGTTTCATATTTTTGAAATACAACTCATTTTGCAATCTTTCAAAGTTAAAATTAAATTATTCATATTCATATATATTATAATTATTTATATTATATTTTTACTTAAATGTTAGATAAATAATAATACTGAAAAATTATTATACACAAAGTGTATATATTCTAGATCAGCATCAACGACCGTTGTTCAGTTTTAAAGCTATTGTCTGGAAACTTTTCATAAGTCCGTTTCGGGTTATTAGCGTCGGATCGGATTACTATATCATTTAGCTGCAATAGTAACGATCGGTCGAAAAATAGGTTATAGCATGAAAAGCTTTCTCAAGAATAAGTTTCATCATGCTCTCCATATTATAATTATGTGAACCAGAATCCAAAAATTATATTAATTTAACTCCAAAAAATAATTTAATAGGTATTCTCTTAAAGATTGAGACATTAAAGATAAAAATAATTAGCAAAAATTTTATTTGAAAAGTTTTTCTTGGACCATCCTTTATGTATATTTAATGAATATTATTATATTAATCTAATATAAATTTTTTAAATTTTACTTTTATTTAAAAGTTATTTTAACAAGCAGCAAATATTGTACTTACTTGGGAAAAAATAACGATATCCTAATAAAATATTGTTGTTGTCAATGAAAGACAAATATTTCAAAAGATTTTGCTGGGAACTTGATTGTAAACCTGATTTCAATAATGTTTTATTGTTTTCATATGCCATAGAGGGGAAAGGCTTTCCCGGTTCCTTATGTGTAATCGATCTTATATTATTGGAAGACACCTTGATCAAGACGCAGTCACGAATGTATTCTATGTATAATCGATATTATCTATTTGGGAGGCATCTTAAGGTCAAGTAGAGGACCCGAACTATCCGGTTCTGTTCTAAACTCTGTGTATATCTATTTTAAAAAAACCTTGAGCAATCAATTCTTATAATACCTGCAAGCACTCTATGTATTTTTTGATTATTTTTTCACTGCCAACAAGTCTTTTCGAAAATTGTCTACGAAGGGTAATACTAAATAGTAAAAATTTGAAAAATTCCATTAAAAAAAAAACTCTTCGGAAATGGCTAATCGTAAGTTAAGTTCGCGGCAAGTTTTGCATAGAAATTTCAAGTGAAAAATAATTCCCTGAAGTGTGATAAGTTTGTTCATGACACATCCATGGCTAGTCCTTGCACTCGTCCTCGCCTCCTGTCCGTGGATGTGGGCGCAACGCGGATCCGTGTGCCAAGTGCGAGTGCGTAGCAAATCGGGAAAATTCGATAAACAAGTGGGTCATACTTAGGGGAAGCACTTCCCTCTCTTTCTTTCTCTCTCTCTCTCTCTCTCTCTTTCTGTCTAGCTCTCCCTCTCAATCTCTGATCATTTTCCACCTGCCAACAGAGTTGGGTGCTGCGCAACGTCTGCTGCAAGGGCTACGTGGGCAGCCCGGGAAACTGCCGACCCCGCTGCTCGCCCAGCTGTGTGCACGCCCAGTGCACCGCCCCCCAGCAGTGCACCTGCAACGAGGGCTACGAGACAGTCGACAGCATCGACAGCAGCACCATGCCAGGCTGCCAGCCCAAGTGCAATGCCTGTCGCTATGGGGATTGCCTGGCGCCCGGCAACTGCCGCTGTTGGCCATCCTTTGAGAAGCAGCCGATTGTTGGCTGCGAGCCTGTGCAGCATCTGATTTTGCCGGCCGAGAAGTGTCTGAGGGAGGATTGCAGCTGCTGGCAGAAGTACTTCAGCTGGACACCATTGCTCACTGGGCAGCCCAAGTGCATCAGGATCTGCCAAACGGGACAGCCGAAGCCTTGCCTGGAACTGGACCAATGCGTATGCAATAGCCTCAATCATCTCCTCATTTGCGAGCAGCCGGAGCATGTGCTGCCCCAGCAATATAGCTGTCAAGTGATCAACAGGCCGCCAAATGCCCATCGGAGAAAGCACACGGTTAAGCATGTAGATCGAACGGTATCGACAGATCCGAGAGATCGTAAAGATCGGACAGATCGGACTACTAAAATATTTCCAGTTTGGACTCATCATTATAATCAATCAGACGAGGAGTCAAAGATAAGCCAGGCAAATCGAGAAGTTCAGTCAGATCGGCGAGACGAAATTCATCATATAGTAGATCAAAAAGATCAGGAAAGTCGGGCTAATAACAGGCATATTGGAAGTCGAATAGATCATCGCCCAGGTCGGCCGGATAGGTTAGACAGAAGACATCGAAAAGATCAGCTAGAACGGCCAGATGTGCTAATTGAGAAAGTGGATAGATACCACACATACGATTCGGCACAAACCGATCCCATCCCACCCAATCAGACAGATCGCCCAGTGCAGACTTTTCATTTATTTGGAAAACATAAAATGAATCAAACCAACCAATCGGATCCAGCAGATCAAGTAACTGGCTCAGACTGGCGAACTCAGGCAGATGAAGATGAGGAGGATCAGACCGAAAATATATATAAAAAAGAGCGAACAAATTGGGAGTACGAGACAGATGGATTAGATCAACCACCCAAACGTAGGAAAGCTAAACGGAACAAACAGAAACCAATTTTATTTGGGGCAGATGAGATAACTCAAGCAGATCATTCAGATCAGACAGATCCAGTAAATCAGTCAGATCCAGCAACTGAAACAGTTCCAGTTCAACATAAATCGGATTATCGATATATGACCAAATCCGAACAGGCGAGTCTTGTAAAATGGCTCATCATTTTGGGCTGCATTATAATCGGAATTATTGTTGTTGTGAGTTTGTTTGCTTTATGTTTCAAAATGCAGAGTCCCCTCGATATATGTGAACGAGATATTATGTAGATAATACTATCTATCTGTTTAGCATACGAAAATTAGCTGAGTTCAGTTCTCTGCTTCCTTTGACTTTATAAATTTGATATAAAGTTCTAGGGAGCAAAGAACTGAAAGTCTTACATTAAAATAAATATGGTGGACCTTATGCTTCTTTAGACCTTCTTCTCAATTTACACTCCACATTTACATGATCTCCAAAACTAAGGTAAAATTAATAAAGAAATTCTTTGATATCCTCACTTTCTAATTTATCTACATTGCAACTATGAACAATATATATTTAAATTGCATTTTTTTTTTAAAAAGTTTCATGATTTATCAACATTTTCCTATTCTTTTCGTTTGACGTGCTTCTGTTTTTCGCAAGGCTTAACAGTGCTTCCGGGCTTAGTGACCCGCTTAGCAGTGCTGTTAATCAGTTAACAGTGCCAAAAAGTAAGCCGATAATTTTATGCAAAATTTTAAGCTATCGAAAAGAGTCGAAATTAAGTCGTAGTCACGTAATGAACGCTTACGATGTGTCGCAGTGTTACTCAAATGTTCCGTTACGTAGTGAGTGTATGTATATATTAAAAAAAAAACTCAACAGAGGCCCGGCTCAACAGCAACAACAAAACGGCAGGTGAGTACGAATACACACACACCTATGCGAATGTCCACACTCAGTCAACGCATTATTGTTGTTATTCTCACATCTCTACACACTTATTAACTGCATAAATATATGTATGCTCAAGTGTGTAGACATGTGTTGTTGTGTAGTTGTTGGTGTATGTAGCGGGTTTTTTTTTGCATATGTGTTTTGTGCGTTTGTGTTGCTCGATATATACAAATAAACATGAGCAGAAAGCAGGCGCACAGCAATGATTAGCAAGCGTACGTAGCCACATGTAGGCAATGTATGTATTTAGTGTTGTTGCTATTGTTGGTATGTACACATGTAGTGCGAGTAGAAGTAGCTTTCGCTGCCGCTGCTAAAGCGGTAACAGCGGCGTCGACTTTGCCGACGCTGTCAACGTTCTCAAATTGTGTTTATGTTTGTACGTATCATGCATACATACATATGTACATATATAGCCGGTATGTTAATGCATGTATGTAAGTACACACATGCTTGTAATGAGTGAGCGCGCCGAGTCAAAGCCAGAACCAGAAATGGCATGAAAATGAAATGTAATGGGCAACAACAGCTAAACACGTGAAGAGCGACAACATCTAAATACATACATATGTATGGGTGTGCGTATACATACATATGTATGTAACTGTATGCTGGATTGAGTTTGTTTCTCTGTCTATTTGATGACGTCGCAAAAACCTTGAGCGTCTTTGGACTTGACTTAAGACAACTTCGAAGTCAACGCAAACGTTACTCTCGCTGACAACAACAAACAACAACTTAATTTGTGCGATTATCGGCACTTTCCTACAGCAACAACAATTGATTTGTGTACACTCGCGGTCAGAAAAAGGAGCACAGTTAGATCTGAACAGTCACGGCTACAAATAAATTCCACATTTACATATATCAAATCTTACAATTATTACAATTTTAAATTTACAAAAAAAAGTGTAATTTTAAAAGATTTATAAATGACTGAAAAGTAGCAATCATATATAGACATAATTATGTATGTGCTCATTTTAACAATCATGCATGTTAATACCGACATATGTATGTGGGTCATGTAATCATGGCGGGGCAAAAAGTTATCGGACAGCGACATCGAAAATAGTCAAGCAATGCATTGAGAATTTTCCACTGATTGCTGGTCAAAGGGAAAATAAACAGAAAGCAGTCTGGCGAATGGAAGTGTAGCGGAAAACTGATAAGGTTTGTGAAAATGTCAGCATTGCGTGTAATTTACATTCAAATATTCAAAAAACCAATATGCAATCAATCGGTAAAAATATTAACAGAAAATGTAAATGTGACGTCATGCTGTTGTGATGCATTGTTGTGGAGGGGGACCGACCTTCTAATCTGGCGCCTATTCAATTGCTCTTTATTCGTTTGCTAGCGCTCCCACTAGCTTATTACCTGCAAATGACGTACACCCAGCAAAAATGGCTAAAACGGTTAGCTCACTTAATTCATTTAAAGCAAATTGCAATTCATTTAAAATAATGATAATCAACAAGTATAATGTTAATCAACAAGTATGTTTTTGATTTTTGCGATAGTTAAGTATACCATCACGTAAAAAACATTTGATACTTGGTTTTTATTTTATTTCTCATGCATTATGCTTTTGACATTTTTGATGGTTGCTCGTTTGCTTTGTTTGCGATTTTAGTGTGTTAATGATGTGGGATTTAAAACTGTTTATAATACCGGTTGTTTATTGTAATTGCCATTTATGTGGCTGACTGAGCGAACATGGGGAGAGAGACTATCGAAAGCACAGCTAAGAGAGCAGTAGCAGCTAATATTATATGTACATATGTATGTACATACATATGTGTAAATATGTTGTTGTTATCGTTTATATGCCTGCAGCCCTCCTCCATCTACCGCTACGACCCACGTAACAACTCTGCTGCTGAGTCTGCTGCTGCTGCTGCTGCTGCCGATACGCTACTGCTACGTTGGCGTCGCTGTTCTCATGAGCGTAGAAATGAGTTTGAATGAGTTGCAAAGAGGGGAAGAAGGGGAGCGCACAGTGCGGTGGATGAATCGTGGCAATGCATTGCATGTACATACAGACATACTCATGTTGCCTATATGCGCATACATGTGTTTACTTGTTTGTCAATATGTACATATGTTATTTGATTTTCGTTTTTTTTTTGTTTTTTTTTTTTTTTTGTTTTGCTTCTTTTATGTTTGTGTGCGTTTGTGTACGCCACACTTCTTGTGTTGTTGTTCTTGTTACTGCCGGGTACATGAATATAAATGTTGTTTATCTGTCGACGTCGACGCCGTCTCGGGTGTCCGTCGGCCTCGTCTCTGCCTCTTTTAGTAGTTTTGTGTGTGTATCGTTTTGTGTGCTGTTGCTGCTGCTATTGTTGTTGTTGTTGTTGTTGTTGTTGGTGTTGTATATGAATATGTGTTTCTTTATTGTTGTGTGTACTTGTTGCTGTTGTTGTTGTTGGTATTGTTGCCTGCCCGACTGCTCAGTCACTTTGCTCGCATGAACTTTTTGCTTTGACTTTGACTCGCCTGCTAATCAATGCTGTACGCCTGGTTATTTTGCTATATCTATATGTACACAAACAAATCTACAAAAGTCACAGACATGCACATGTGCACACCCCAACCTCTTCCCGCATCTTACATTAGCGTCACGAATCGTGCGTGTAAATATGTACAACAAAAGTTACAACACATAAAATTATCAAGAAAATGTAGATGAATGTATGCATGTATTGGATGGGGGAATGGGGGAATAGCATGCATATCGGTTCCATTATAGTAAATACATATATATACCGACTGACACTTGTGAATAAAATATGCATATACATATACATGCTTACGTAGATACTTACATATGTATGTGTGTATATTTAAGTGCGAGTGTTGAGCAATCGAAGAGAATTTTCTATTGTTTTCGATAGTGATTTAGGGAGTAGACTGACTTCCCTTTTAGAATAATATAAAGTGTATGTGCATACATGTATGTGTGCTAGTACTCATTTATATGTATGAATCAAAGTAGTTTGCAAATCTGTGGATCTTTAGGGTGAACCGTTGATGCATAAATGTTTTTGCTGATATCGTTTGCTATATATGTATATGTACATATGTATGTTTATTTTATGTTGACAATTTTTGTACAATTATTAAATAACATATATGTATGTATGTCATATATTATTATAAATATATGACAAAAAATATTCAAGATTAACCATAACTTTTTTTAAAGCTTTATTTAATTTTAAGGTCCACTCTATTGGGATTGCTTGAACTCTGGGCATATCATAATTTTTGGCTTGATTGTTGACATAGCTAAAGCGCAGGTAAGTTTTTTTAATATATATACATACATATGTATTTGTTTTACCCCAATATAATAGATAAAGGCATACATGTACATATGTACTTAGGTATGTGTAAGCCCACGGTGCCAATTACTGGCACATTCCCTTTCATATTTAGCTTTTGTGTACCGTTACACATCAGGCACTTCTCTATGTGTGAGTAGTGCAGATGCAAAAGGAACACAAACGCAATATGCAACTATTTGTGTTGTAGTTTTAATGCCAACGACAAAGCCCAAGCGCACTTCTACGCCCCTCTCCCCTTCAGAATCAACGTTACCCATGTTCATGGAAACGGCAATGTTTACACTTGTTTGGCATTCATGGGCTGCTGTTCGTTGGTAAATAATTTCATAATAATGTTGTTGTTGCGGCATGACAAATGATAAGCCGTCGTCTACAAATTGCAACAATTACAATTGGGTTAATAATACATCATAGTCATCATTGTTGTTGTTGCATTTGTTGTTGTTGTTGCAAACAGTTGTACATACATTCATTTGTTTTCTATTTATGCATGGGGACGTGTGTTTGTGTGTGTGGCAAACTGTTTGACATTTTGCAATAAAATAAATTAAACAATAAATTATAAATTTGTACAAAAAATGACTGTTGGTCGAACAGGCGCACATCAATGCGCAGTCAGCGTCTCTGTTGTTGGCGACGGCGACAGCGACTTTGCTGTTGTTGCTGCTGTTGCCTCTTCTCCTGCTGTTGTTGTTTTTGGTATTTGCCAGCTGTGGCGAGCCCACAGTATGTGTGTTTTTTTTTTCTCCTTCTATTTCATTGCCTTACACATGCATACAGACATACATATGCATACATTCATTTGTATTTATGCATGCGCATCTGCCTGTATGTGTATGTGAATGCGTAACATGTTTGGCCTTGTGAGTGACCAGCCTAACATTGTTTTGTCCCTGGGTGAGGGGAAGAGTTGCCAAAGCAGAGCAAAGAAGAACCGTTACATGTTTTATGTACGGTCTCAGCAGCAGCAGCAGCGTGGCCATATGCGTGTTCTGCTGTTGTTGTTTGTTATGTGCCTCTCCCTACCTAACCCACTCAATCGGACACTCTCTCGGTCTCGCTCTCTTTTTGTATGATTGACCTGCTCATGCAGTTTGCCGTTTTGCCTGCTGCGCTACTCAGCTGTGCTTTTCGATCGGCCGCAGGTGTTTGTCGCAGGTCAGTTATGTACGTACATACATACATACTTGTGGACTTGTGTGCGTGTATGTTTGCTTGTGTTTATAATACATA